ATTCTGGGTGGAGAGGAACGAGGAAAGGGGGTGGGTGGGGGGGGAAGTTAGGAGGGGGATTTTGACAGTCATTAAATATTTAAATCACCCTTGAACACATTTTTTGTTGTCAGGTTACCAACCTTTTAAAAATTCATTTCACTAACCAGTTCACTCTATGTCACTATGGATACCAAAGAACCCTTTAAAAACTTGGGAGAGGCGGGTTTTTGCTGTTAAAAAGAAAACTGGCGACTTTCTCTTGGTGCTGTCATGGCAGAGCCCCGCCGCGCGCCCCCTCCCCATAGACCCACCGGTCCAAGGAAGGGCAGAAGCGTGTGCTGCTCCGCTCCTCAGTCTCCCAGGATGAGTTTGACGAAAGAGGCGACGTCTGTCTCTTTGGATTCGTGCAGGGCGAAGAAAGGATGTTGCTAGAAAGAAAGTGGGGAAAAACCAGAAAACACTTTAAAATGCAACTCTTTGATCCCAAACACCTGAGCCCCGGGACAGCTTTGCCAAATTCTGTGCCGGGAACCCCGTGCTCATCAAATGCTCCCTTTTTCCAACGTCGCAACATTTTGGGCACAGAGAGGAGAGAGGTTTTTGTGCCGGGAGCTGGCACAGCTCTTCAGTTCAGGATCTAGAGCAGGGGTGGGCAATTATTTCAGGCTGAGTTTTGGCAAGCCACCGAGGGCCACATGACAGGCAGCTAGGGGCAGATAAATATTCATTTTCTAAATTTTTTAGGGGCCTTGCAGGCCAGATGGGATGGCCTGGTGGGCTGCATTTTGCCCACCCCAATCTAGAGAGACCCCGGGCTTTTCTTCAGTTTTCCTCCGCTCTTCAGTGGCTGGCGGCCTCGTGGCAGGGCTAAGCCATGCTGGGGCGGGCACGGAGATCTACCTACAGCTGCCTGTGCAAAACGTGAGTTTCTTTCTCTCTAGGTTTCACAGTTTTTGGGTTTGGAGGGGGAATGTGTCATCCTTGCCCCCCAACATGAGAACAATATGTGGTACTTCGCTCTCGTTCTGACTACGAGGATGCACGAACCTCAGGGCGATGAAGATAGATAGGACCATACACACAAAGGGAAACAGCCATGCTCCGGGTAAACAGCAGGTGTGTGGACTTAAAATCATATTTCGGCCATAGGGAAAAACAGGAAAGGCAGAACAAATGTTGGGCCTGTCCGCTCTGACGCTGTCTCTTTTAAAGCTGGCTTTGCATTGCATGTAAATCGCTCCAGACCCATGCAAGAAAGACCCACCTTTTATTTTTAGCTTGCTAAAGCATCTTGGCTGACCTCGCCTGGCCTTTTTGGCTGGAGAGACGGGCACGTTCACAGGGGCAGGCTTTCTTAGACGATGATCCCACCGTACTCAATGCAATGGTGTGCACAAGTAAAGCTGAACAAGCCTGGAGTGTATGCAGGGGAAAACCGCGCGGGGAGCTTGCAGGCAGGCAGCAGATTTGATTTTTTTTTTTTTTCCCCCACCAAGCTTCCAGCCATATTTATTTATCTGGTCTTTTCCCTCCGCGTCTTATTTCTTCTCAGCCCCTGCTACAGCTCACAGCAGGAGATGGCTACTTCATCCCTAACCGCTCTGCAGAAAGGAAAGCCATACTGGCTAGAAAATGATAAACAGCTATATGTTAAAATACTTAATAGTAACCAACATGTTAAGACATCCTGCCAGAGGCCTTGCCTAGATTTCAGTAAATGGAAAAATGTGTGTGAGAAGGAAGGGAAAAAAAAAAAAAACAACAAAGAGCTGCTCCCCTCTGACTGGAAATGAGGTCTAGCATTTGCCACCGAAGGCTGCAGCTTGGGGGGTGAAACCGGAGCTTCCTCTGGAGGTCACCAAGATGCTGCTATTTGGATGGGGCTAGAAGGGTTTATCTAATAATCAGCTATTACTGCTATCACTCCTCGGTGCTGAAGGCACAAGTCCCAGTCGAGGATCAGAGCCCCGGTGCGTTAAAGCCTGTCGGACGTCTGCGCTGCAGCAGTGTGAAGATGCCAGAGGCGCACCTCCTACTGCCACGCGCCGACCCCGGGAATGAGACGGTGATGCCACTCTCGGGGCTCAAATCTGCTTCTTATGTGCTCGGGGTGCGAATGCAAAGGCTGGCAGATTGGTTCTTGACTTTGTCCGAAGACTTCCCAGTGCTCATTTCTACGGATCAGACTTGTAAATGTATTTCAGATCTCCTGTCTCCCGGCATTTCCGCTCTCGGCAGGCTCTTTGCTGCTTACCTGACTCTTCGTGGACCTGAAACCCTTTGAAAATCCAGCCCTCTGAGCTCCAGATCTGGAGGAGAGCACAGTCATCAAAGAGCCTGGTGTCTCTATGCCTTTATTCACTTTGCACCGCGTATTTCCGAATGCTTTCCTGGCTATTTGGCGCTGTTGTTCTAGGAGGACCCCCTGCTCACAAGGTGTGTTTGCTGGCTTGATGGCTGTGGGTCACACTCCACCCATTGCGTTGGACACACCTTGAGATCACACTGCCTGGTGCTTTGTAACCTCACTCCAGTTACTGACACAGGATAAAATCACGCTACTCTTTACTAGTAGAAGTGTCCCAAGATTTTTCCCTGAGGTCCTCCTACACCTGATGCATACAACTTGCGCTGGCGCAGGGCCGTACCTCATATATCCGTTCTTCTTTTCCATCAGCGTGAAGGCCTGGCTGCAAGCAAGCGCATCGTCTCTCCAAGCCTTCGTTCAGTAGCTAGAATAGGCTAAAACACGGGTGCGGCGTCCCGCCATCACACGAGATGCGTCGTATGGGATGCATATGACCAAGTGCAAGCCAAAGGGGGGACAAGCTCCTCTGTCTCGCGCTCCGCTTCACCTGGGGGAGTGGGTCCTACACTGAAGTTAAGCAGAGCCCATCTAGATCAGTTTTCCTGATGCTCAAATCAGTGCGCACACAGTCAGATTTTCCATGAGAAACCTCAGTTCCACAGGAAAGCAAGGAGCAGTCTCAGTCTAAAAAGGCAAGTCCATTCCAGTACCGCAACTTAATACCATGAGAGAGAAAAAAAAAACAACAAAAAAAACCCCCATAACCACAGAACCTCACAACATTAATGTCAGCCATCAAATACCACAGTGTTGAGATACACTGGAAAGGTGATCCAAAATCCTAATTCAATAGAAACGAGTGCCGCTGCCAGGGGGTATTACGCCGCAGCAGACAGCTCTGCTCCGGTGAACCTTTGTGATAAAAGGCCATTTGGCAAAAGACTGAGATTTGCTTAAAATACATGCGCGTATTTATCCAATACTAAAAAGAAAATGATCTTGGGCCTCCCTTTGTCTCAAAAAGCAGCGTTTGAGCAACGTGCAGTCTATACATAACCTAACGGCATTACAAGGCCTAACAAAAATGCCCTAGGACTTGCTCACAAATTACAATTAAGCTTTGAAAGGTGCCTAGCCTCTCCACGCAGTGAGCACCAAAGGGGGGTTACACAACTCGGGGCTTCTACGCAGCAGGTAACACAACGTCCCCTATCAAGCTGCATCGGCACGTAAATAAAAAGTGGGGAGAAAGGCACGTGCATCATTTTTCACTGCTTGCCTCCGATGGGAGGAAGAGATGAAGGACCACTGTTTGCCTCACCTTGGTGATTGGGGCCCAACAAATGGCATGGCACTGAGAAAGCAGACAGGCATATACAGCCAGAAAAAACACGAAGGACTGAGCTCCTCATGGTGTCTACGTGCCTAATTACCACTGATAACCAGTGAGAGTAAGTTACCCGAATCCCTTGAAGAGTCTGGGTTAAGACGGAAGTAAAACAGGACAGGCAAGAGAGCGCGATGTTAACTCTTGGAGTAGAGACTCAACTCATCTTTTGTTGGGCTTTGACACTGACTCAGCCTAGAGCCTGCGTTTATGGGGAATCTCACAGCCAACCCTGTCCTTACCAACTCCATGTCCGGAGCCGTGGCCGAGTTCAGATCCGCGTCCGAACTGCTGACGCTTGATCGGCACCAGACCCCTTGCGGCCTTTGGAGAAAGGCACACGACGGCTGGGTTGCCGCACGCTGACCTCCCGCTGTGACCTGCTGCCAGCGTTTTCCTCCCTCTGCTGATGCTCTGTCCCAGGCAAGCTCAAAACCAACATTTTGCGCGCAGCAGAAGAAATTCACTCGCTGGACGGCTGCTTGGGTCATCCCCACTGCTAACAGCCAAAAAGGCTCCTCTCCAAGTCACTGCGGCGACGGATCTCGGCAGTGCACGTTGCGCTCTCTGCCCGCAAGCCACCGTGCAATTGCACAAAGGAAGTTTTGCTCCGGTGGACTTGCACTCACCACACTCATTACTACCACCTCGCAGCTCCCTCCCTAAACTCTGGTATGTTTAATTGCTTCAAGGGCGAAACGCTGACCTTGGCTATACATGTGCACTTCTCCACTGGGACCTGAGCACCTGCGAGCACAATCTGGAACTCGGGCCAAGGTTTTCAAGAACATTTATAGTGCCTGGGTTTCCAGGTGCCCAGCTCAAGATACCTGAAAGGAGCCCAATTCTCCTACATTTTTAATGAACTTCTCTCTGAAGTTGTTTCAGGGCACCTGCAATGATTAGTCCCTTGGAAAAACTGAAGCTTTGGCATCTAATAACCATCCCTTTAAATCCCAGCTCTAATGCCCTCTTAGTCCAGCCACACTCACCATAAGCTCGGGGTACGTTGGCCGTTCTTTGGAATTCTTCTTTAAGCTGTAAAGAAAAAAAAGAAGAGAGTTATAGGCACAGAAATGCTCTATCGAAAGGACAGAATTTAAACCTAAATTGAAATTTAAAATCTAAGAGTTTAAATCCCTAGGGAACGAGTGGAGCAAAGAACCCACGCTTTGGACCCACAGGACCTTGTGGGGAGCAGCGTATATGGGGAAAGCCGCAGGCGCGCTCTGCCGAGGGACCTGCTTTCATTTCGTGCGGACTCTGGTCTTTACAAGGTTCTCAGGACACCAGACCTGATCCTGAATAACCTTTCCCATGGCACATCCGTGGGATAAACGCCTTCCTATGATTCATGCGCTCTCATTAGGAACTAAACGATGACTGGATTTCCAGCCCATTGCAAAGTCTTTCCACTGACTTACATGTCCTTTGAGTCAGGGCACCTCTGCCCCTTCCTCAGCCACGTGCTTATTTTGCAAGGCCCCGTGTAGAGAAAGACCTTCTACAAACTCAGCCTGGCTTTAGCTTGTACAAAGCCCCACCACCATTACAGGAGGCAGCTGGGAGCCAGGCCCACCCAGGAGTGCCAATCTCACCCTTCGGAAACCTGCTCCATTGCACTACCCCATTTTTGAGCTTTCGCTAAAAGCACCTCTCCTGTCATGAGCCCCTCTGACTTACCCCGTTACTGCACTTAGCTTCATGCCCTACCCGTGCCCTCAGCAACCAAGGCTCATTCTCCACGTGGCCAGGCCCAGGAGTCCCCAAAACTTGTCTCCCCAGCAGGTTTGGTTCATGACCAGGTGACAGCCCAGGGGCTTGCCGAGGCCGTTCTGGGCTTGAGTCGGGATTCCTCATTCCTGCAGCCGGTATCAGCTTAGTGCAAGCGGATGGCAAGTTATAGCATGTTGTGCAGTACGGCAGCAAACCCCTCTAGCTGGGTAAGCACTGGTTTTCATATGCATGAGCTGTATTGCTCAGGAGAGACACGGGGCACCAGCTGCAAAAACACAAGGGCTCCTTGCTAGCTGGCAGTCTGAGGTTTATCTCCTGAAGCCCCAGCACTGGGGGACTTTGCTTGTAGAGTGCTCCCTTGAAGTGGGCCAGTTATCATTAACATAGCAGCATTTGTTTCATCCTCCCATTAAGTCTTGCAAATCCCATGTGGGACATAAGCACTGGGCACAGACTTGCTCAGGTGAAACTCACTCAGTGGCAAAGGTAGAAAAGGAGTCCTGGTTCCTCCAGGTAGATCCCTAGACATACGAGCTAGTATGTGGCATGTCTCTCCCCAGCCGTACCAATGCCCTACACGTCGGCTGTAGGTGGGAGGGCAAAAATCAGGGATTAATGCAACAGGTAGATCCTTCAGTGCAGAGACGTACAACCAAAGGGCTTGCAAGCACACGTACGGCATGTCCACCGCTGCGCCGGCGGTCACGTGGAACTTCCTTTTTTCTCCTCCCCTACAACAGATGGCTCGGGAGGGTAGTAGCAGGCAGGTTATTTTGGTTTCCCTCCAGCAGAAAATAGCCTTTAAAGACAGGACGTAATCTCTACTCACTTCCCACCGGCGTATTTATGGGAAGACGCTTGGAGCGACTTTTGAAAGGTCTTCACACGTACACACGTTAGTGATGGGGGGGCGGGGAAAGTGTCACACCGAGCAAGACAAAAGTGAGAACCTCGGCTATGATAAGCAGCTCGTCTGCTGGGATTTGCCAGGCCCTGAGGAAGTGGAGGATGCACGCGGAGCAGATATTTCCTGTCTCTCGCTGCGCAGGGTTCATTCACATTTAACTGTCACGCTGGACAATAACAGAGGATGAACCGTATCGGTGGGACCCAGCGGAAGATCAGACTTGTCATTTCCTTCAGGCCCAGAGATGACCCAAGCTGAAGGGGACTTCAAAGGTTTGGGCGCAGAGCTCGGGTCCAGGTTTCTCTGAACTCAGATCTTTTGTAAAATAAATTCTGAGTTACTGAACTCAGAAGTAATCTTTAATAATGAAACCTTTAAAAACCCACAGTGTAACACTTCTGGCCTAGACTGCACAGAAATGAAGAATCAGTAAAGGCAGGTCCCTGAGGCTTTTCTTTTGTTGTGGTTAATGTTTTGCATGTTTTTCACTTAAATTGAGTGTCCAGCTATTCATGCCTGGAAATTAAGGACCCTACCCTGCTCTCAGAGACTCCAGGGACCTATAAACCAGCCTAAAGACAATCTGGGTCTTACATTTAGAGGAGTTAAGCAGAAGCTGCTGCTATGGACTTCAAGTACTCTGCAAGAAACACATGTACTCTTTTGCTAGTCTTTCATGATAGGGTTACAGAAGAGCACCCAAACACTCCCTGGTGAAGGAAACAGCAAGACATTCCTGTTGTTTAGCAGGGGCGACTATTATGATTGTGTATGGTTGTGGATTTCCTACTCCAAAAGCTGCCAGAGAAGCCCACGTGACAAGCCCCGAGAAACGCTGCTTGCAAATCGGATGTCTCGGCACTCTTTTGACAAAAGCAAGGGGGGCTCGGCACATGCAAGGATTTCTGCAATAACAAAGTGTGCAAGATGGAGCATAGGAAATTTGTCCAGGAAATAGACTTTCAGGCTTAGGCTTGCAAAAAACCTGGATTGTGTGTGCGTGTGTGTGAGCTCCCACCTGCTGCCGGCTGGGAATAAGCCTGCTGCATACGGGGTGAAAAAGATACACTTTTAACCCAAAAAAAGAAGGAAAGGGGTTACAGGAACACTTGGCTACTCTGCATGAGCTTCCAGAGAGGAACCCAACACGCTGCTTCAAGTCCAGCGAGGTGGCTGAGACACCTCTTTCCTGGGACACAAGCAGATCAGGCACCAAGGCCTAACACCAAGACACTGGAAGCGTCTCGCATGTCTGCATCCATCAGCCCGCGGTCCTGCTGTAGCGCCCACGCAAGCTGCCGTCCACCCACCTGCCAACTTGGCAAGCAGTGAGTGGCACTGCAGTGCCTGGAAAAATAAAGTCACCTCCTGACTGATTTTGAGGGAGTTGGGAGGAAGAAGCTGTTGCCAGACGCTTCTCAACAATGCGCTGACAGAAAAGGGCAACGCTGAGTTTATTTCAGGGTACAGGGAGGGTGTCTTGTTTTTAAGAGGCAAGGTTTGCACCATGCAAGGCCGCTCCACTCTTTGAATCCGAACCTTTTATCTATCACGGAGGCGAAATTTCCTCCCTGCACCCCTATGGAAACCAATGCAGTTGCCATAAAGGAAAGCACAGCTCGGCCTCTGGTGCAGACAGGGTTGAGGTCTGGATCAATCCCCTCTAAACCATCCCTCTCCTCAGCCAGGCTCACTGTGGAAGAGCTTCCCACGAGGGCCTACAAGGCTGGGGAGGCAGGGGGTCGCTCCAGGTCAGCTCTCCGTTTCCTCCAAGCCTCAGGAAACCGCTGGTCTCAAGCCCCTCTCGTTTTCCGTGCTGGAGGCCTCAAGGGAGACCCGCTCAGACCCAAGTGCCCGTGCGCAGGAAGAGAAGAGCGAGCTGCTGATGAGATGGGCCAAGAGTACGTGCATTTCTGAATCTTCTCTCGGGTAACCGCGCGCCGGGCCGGGTTGCAGCTCTACGTCGACAACACCAACCAAATGACCTGTTGGGTTGTTTAACCGTTCATCAAAGACCTTGCTGGGCTGAGACGTCCTCTTCTCCCTCCTCTTCTCCAGGGAACGACGCCAATGTGAGGACAGGGGCTACAGCGGTGGGTGGCCCCCGCAGCTGCATACCTTACGCCAGCTTTGCCAGAGAAGACAAATAATTTGCAAGCTGCAATGCAATTTTCTGCTGCTTCCACCTGCATTTCTCCTTTGTGGCTAGGATGCACGTAACCCACTGGTTAGTCGGATGGGGTGGAGAGGGGTGCATGCAGCACAAGTAATGAGCCTTGTTTTTCAGCTAAAGCTGTGCAGCGATAGTACCTCTGGATGCCTCAGGTTCAATCCCCGGTATCCATCCCAGCCCCGCGACATGGGAACTGATGACAGCAGCAAAGAGATCAGAGAGTCCTAAAGAAGCAGGCCTGGAGGGGACCTCCAGAGGTCATCTAGTCCAACCCTCGCCCGAGGCAGGAATATCCCTATGCAAACCATAATTGTAAGCAGTTTCCCACAGTGCAATGAGCAGTAAGGACCCCATCCACACACCAGGCCAGCAGGACCCCAGGGTGGCTCCAGGCCCAGCGCATGCAAGGCAGGCAGCCTCATGTCTACTTCGACCTACGTAACATAACCAGCAACAACACCTCTTGTCCTTTACCCGGTGAAACGAGAACGTATCGAAGATGCACGTTATGCGCAGACAGCCTGACCGTATAGTACGGCTCTGGTTCGACCTCCCTAAAAAGAGGGGGGATAATTTGACTTTCACTGCCAGGAAAGGGGGCTCAGGAGGGAGCTGCTTACCACTGCGAGGTAAAATCAACGAACTCTGCAGAGAACTTGTCTGCCGGGAGCTGGGGTGAAGGCTCCTCCACCACCTGCTTGAGCTGCTGGAACGGTGTCCCCCACGAGTCGTATGGAAACCTCAGGATTGCCAGCTCGATCTGGGGGGCGAGAGAGGGGCAGAGGTCAGTGATAACTCCGACAGCCTCGTGGCTTTAACTGGCTAGCCTACGACCCTTGTAATTCATAGACGTCCGGGTCGGAAGGGACCTCAGCACATCATCGAGCCCGACCCCCTGCCCCGGGCAGGAAAGAGTGCTGGGGTCAGATGATCCCAGCCAGGTGCTTGTCCAGTCTCGTCTTAAAGACCCCCAAGGTAGGGGAGAGCACCACCTCCCTTGGAGCCCAGTCCAGCTTTTGGCAACCCTTAGGGGTAATAATGAAGGATGAATTAGAGCAGATGATTTAATCTTTCCTCTATTACTAATATACCCATCACTGGGGGACACTGCATGAGTGCCGTGCACTGACTCCCCAGAGGGATAAGACTGGGCTGTACGCGGCTCCTTCATACTCTGACATCCCGCCCAGGCCAGAATGAAATAAGAACAGGGCTGTTTAAAAAGCAGAGGTAAACCGACCTCCCTTTTTCCATCCAAAACGCTTTGATTTTTTCCCCCCCCGCCTTTTGTCTCAGGTTGGTCAGAAATGTGGATCCTGAATTTCCACTGCCCTATTCCTTGCGCTGGCATTTGCACGGCCTGGAGGATTCGCATGGCCAACGTCTCACGACTCGTACTTGTGGTCCAGTCGTGCCCGGGAGGCCAGTCTATCACGGACCGGAGGCTCACGGTGCTCGGGGCTGGACAACCAGCAGCGTCCTTGCCCCAAGGAGCCTACAAGCTGGTTACAATCACAGTTGCCTAGTTTTAATCCTTCCTCCCCCTTTTGCCGTGCAAACCCCCCTCCCCCAAAATACCAGGTCTTGAACTAAATGGGAGGAAAATTGCACAAAGCGAACAGGGTTTTCCTTGTCCGTTCCCCTCTAGGAGTCATCCAAAACAATCAGGAGGTCCAAAGATTCAGCCTAACTCCTAAAATGCCTTTTAATGCTGGTACGCGTGGCTTTTAGGACAGGCCGGCACTCTCTGATTTTTGTCAGAGATTTTAAATGCTGAGAGTGTTTGTTTGATTCATGGATTTATCTGAGGCTGCACATTCAGCATTTCAGCTGGCTCACCAATGTTAGCCGATGCTGCCATCAGCTGGGGGCCTGCCGAAATTACGCTTGGTTCCCTTTCAAGCAGGTTTTGACTCCACATTAACAACCCTGGGCTCAGCTGTGCCTTGAAGGCACGGCCCAACTCGCTGTGCCTGTGCCCCAGGGATAATGCAAAGGGTTTGTTCTGCTGGTTTGAACTGAGATCAGCACAGCCCGTAGTCCCAGAGGGAAGTCTAGTACACATTGCAGCGCTAGATGGTTTGCTCCCTGGGTTTCTAGGACAAAGGCTGCAGCAACTCCTGACTGCCTCAGAGCATTTATCTGCACACTGAGGTGGGGCTGCGCTAACATCCCTGTTTTGCTAGGGGGAAACTGAGGCACGGAGACCAAGTGACTTGCCCCCAGGCAGAGCACAGAATTAAACCTGAGACTTCCAGTTCCCAGGCCTGGGAAGAAGGAAGATGAGAGCAGCTCAACTGCATGTCAGGCATGCCAAACCATGTCCTGGGCAGGTGTTAGTTGCTTTCTTTCTTCCCTGCTCTGATCTTTCCTCCCACAGCTCCCTTTTCTGCATAGTTAATAAGGACTCTCTGGGTGATCTGGACAGAAAAAGCTTCTCACTGTGGTTTAGGGCTAGACTGCAAGGCTGGGCCATTAAAACAAGAAGAGCACGATGGGGTGGCTGCTGTCGATATAAGGCAATAGCGGCATTTGGCTGAGGGTACCTGTGCTGCAAGGTATTTGGGGGGACAGATTGAAGGAGGGTGTTAGAGGACAAAATGTACTGGATCTGCTCGTTCGCACCGGTGCTGGATTTCTTTTACAACGAGAAGCATCCTCACAGTCTGAGAATCAAATCTGGAAATCTGGGCCTCGCTGATCAAGGACGCCCATTCCAGCAGGGCCTATGTCAGGGGTGGGCAAGATGCGGCCCGCGGGCCAGATGCAACCCACCAGGCCATTCTATCCGGCCTGTAGGGCTCCTAAAAACTTAGAAAATTAATATTTATCTGCCCTGGGCTGCCTGTCATATGGCCCTCGATGGCTTGCCAAAACTCAGTAAGCGGCCCTCCGCCCAAAATAATTGCCCGCCCCTCGCCTAGGGGGGTGGTGAGTGCACAGTGAAATTAGAAAATGAGCCGCAGCTTCTTTCTTCCTCACACTACAACATGCCATGAGTATTTGGGACAGGAAGAGGTGAATACCTCCCCTGAAGGCCCACGGGGAATGGTGCTATGGATCTCAAGAATATAAGCATGAGAATATAAAGCCCTTAAGCTCTGGTAGCTCTTAGTGCTGTCCTACCATAGTGATTCCCAGGCTCCAGATATCTGATTTGACGCTGTAGCCTTTCTGGTTCAGTTCAGGGTTTATTCTTTCAGGCTGGAAGGAGAAACAAACAGAAGCTGATTACAAGCACAACGCAGGCTCCCTTCCCGTATGGCGGGGTGACCCCAGTGCTAAACACCATGAATGCCCCGAACCAGCACTCATTGCTGACCTGGATCCTGGAGGGGAGCACAATCAGGCCATGGGTTTATTAAAACTGAATCTCCTCTCTGTTATCTTGACTGGATCTGGCTTATCTTCTCTGCCTAGTGGGGACAAGCACCAAGGCTGGACACTGGGCACTGGCTCATATCCAAGGAGGTAAGACAGCAGAAGCTGAATCCCAGTCCCTGATTCACAGGGTTCAGATCTGCCCAGAAGGTGGCAAGCCCAGTTCTCCAGCACCTTAATCCTCAGGGAACCATTTATAACTGGCTTTTCCACTGGGCAAGCACAAAACGGCTGCTACTGTGGGGCTCTGTGATGCTGGGCTCCCCTATGCGTCTCATTTTGATGCTACCGATGACCAATGCTCCCTATTGGTTTATTCCCACCAGAAGACCATCACTGTCTCCACTACACCAATAGGGAAACTGGGTAAAGACCAAACGCAACCGTTTCAAGCTCACATAATGAATCATTGAGGGCATGTGAAATAAAACCCAGGGGTCCTGATTCCCAGGCTCGAGCTGCAAATAATTAGACAAATAACTACCGAGGCCCATCTTAAGCGAGTCATCGAAACGAGGGTTGTTGGTTGTAGCTGTGTTGATGCTCCCTGTGCCTGAAGAAGGTTGTTTGTACCCAAAAGCTTGCAAATAATAATTTTTCCAACTATCACATTTATCCAAAGAGCCTTGCCTGTCATCAAAACAACGCACTGGAAGTTGTTATCTTTTAGGCCTCCGACATGTAGGTGATCCATCCCCGGTTTCACATGCTCCTCTCTGTACCACAGTAGTTTCTCATGCATCTTCCCCAAGCATCTCAACTTACCGCCATGTAAGGTTTGCATCCTGCATCCATGGTTTTAGCAACAGAGTCAACGAGGTAACCGCTAATTCCAAAATCACACATTTTCACCTGCCCCAGTGCATTGATCAACACGTTAGATGGCTTTACATCTGCAAGAAGGAGCACACACCACCATCACCATCATAAACACTCTTCAACCCACCATTTTAGAGTATAACCAGGTGCAAACATGGTTAGTTAGGGCACTCACCCGAGGGACCAAAGCAGTATCAGGGGGAGGGAAGCTGGAGAAAAGACAAAATGGCCCAAATCTTCAAAAGTGGACTCTCGGTTGCTGCCCAAATTTAAAATAGGATGGAGCCAAATCAAAGGTGCTAAGCACCGGCAGCTCCTAGCGACTCCAGCTGCGGTTAAAATCACCTAGGGGTGATGGAAATGGGGCCCAAAGAGGCCTATTGCCCATCACACCGATTTGACTCCCATTACAGTAGCTGAGTGCCTTATCTCCCACACATTTATCTGTGCAACACCCCTGTGACTGCCCTCGTTTCCCACATCTGTAAGCGCGGCTCACAGAGACAGAGAGACTATGCGACTGATCCAAGGTCGTGCAGGATATCTGTGAGTGGGTCTCCCATAAAATGGGTTAACTCCTTCACCATGAGCCACGCTGCCTCTCTGAACGCACCTATCTTCAGAGGCCACTTCTGAAAAAATCTGCTCTAAATACATATAATAATAAAATAGTCAACAGGGGCTGAAGCTGGTGGCACGCTCCTCTTCATTGAGGCATTGTGGTACATGGCTGATTGGCCTCTTCTCTCTACTCAGGGCCGTGCGATCAAACTTTTGGGAATCCTTTGTCTATTATCCCTGAATGAAAACCTTTCGACTGAAATCACACAAACAACCCTCTATGAGCCATGCAGAATTGGCCACCCACTTTTGGCGATCCAGAAGGCAGGATCTCAACCCCAGGCAGGCTCATTACAGGGAGATCACGAGCGGCTGTTAGTTTTGAACTCCTTTCACTTCAAACAACTCCATCCCCAGCAGTCACTCTGCAGAGATGTCTGTTTTTCTTTTCGTGACATACTGAATACAGTTTTTGAAATAAAGGTGTCAACCAGCAAAAGAGCAAGATAGTTTAATTTTATGCACGTTCCTGGCATCTGCCTGGAGGCAGTTTTTAAACTCTCTTGACGTTGTCCTACATAGCTGCTGAAATTTAGGTGGCTTAAAGAGACCAGAGGGATTTCGAAAACCAAAGGCAGACAGAAATGCCACATCTGGAGCTTGAAGCCTGCAGAGCTGCGTTAAGTCAGGACATAAAAATCACTGTGGCGTTTAAGAGGAAGAAAATGCATAACAAAGAACAATAAAAACAGTAGCAGAAATGTTTAAAAGTAAATGGTTAAATTATTGTCATTATTAACATCAGCAATGCAGTTAGCACCTAGGAGTCCCTTTCAGGGGTCAGGACCCTCCCTATGTTGGGCCCTGCACAACTGCAGAACAAACACTGTTTTGTGCCATCATCGTCTCTGGTTATAAGTAATATAAATAATGCAGGTAGAAATCAGGAGGTTCTGAAACAGGCTTTATAGCATTTCCCCCAACACCACCTCTTCATATTACTCAGCACTGACAATTTGGTTGAAAAATCCAGAGGTCCGACGAGAAAACTTGGTAGACCTCCATTTTTTTTCCCTACCTCCTAGATCCTAAAGTGGGATTCTTAAGCTAAAGTCATCTATGTCCAAGTCTCCCATGGGATAAGCTGCTGATCTAGCCTGAACTTAAAGTCCTGGCTGCATAAGACTGGGCCCAAATCAGGAGGTGCCACTGGGCTTAATGTAGATGCTAAGGGCCTGTTCTGCATGGGGAGGAATGAGCCTATACCCTGACTGATCCCAAACCAGCCAAAGTCCAAGATCTGGGAACCCATCCCATTATTAGTCAGGGGTACCTCTGCTAGTGGGTGATGGGGAAGCAAATTATCTATTTATTTTGCCAGCCAGTAGAGGCTATTTCATATGTTCAGCTTCAGTGGAGCTATGCTGAGCAGCACCCTCTCCAAGATACCTGCACATCCTGACTCTACTTTTGCTTACATGCTTTGGGCTACAAGGCCATAGCCAAGCCCTTGTTTTGGGCTACAAGGCCACAGCTCCCAGCTCTAGGCTATGAGGCCACTGGACTTCCCCCTGACTTTGGGGGCACCTCCCTGGCTCTAAGAATAACCCCCACAAGAGGCAGAGCCAGAGGCTAGGCTCAGTGGGAAGCAGGCACTGCCCGAGCACGCGTGAGCTGCACTTACCTCTGTGGATTACGGAGAGTTTGCTATGTAGGTGTTCAAGCGCTTTTACAATCTGAAACACAACAAATCCAGAGTGAACCAGGGCTCACAGGATGGACCAACAGGGCTAGCCCACACCAAGCCTCCTAACCCCAGCTCTACAGCAATGGGGAATAATCTAGGAACCCCCTTTCAGCAGTACACCGCTTCATCATTTAAGTCAACTGGCAGATGTCCGGGTATGGAGAACTGATAGATATAAACTCAAGCTAAATATTGAAAGTCAAGCAAGAATTTGCATGCGAGGGCTGGTTTCTGGGCCAGTGCAGAGAGGAGAGGTCCCCAAGGGCTAGGCTCAGAAGAGGAACGGCACCCCGAACTCCACTTACGGAGACTGCTATTTTCCCCAGGATGTCTTCTGGAATCGTCAGGCCTTTGTCAATGACGTGTTTGTAGAATTTGTCCAGTGAGGTGTCCATCAGCTCCATGCAGATCCACACGTCTCCCTGGAGGACAAAAAAGGGGAAACCTTACCAACTGGAGCCTTCCCTTGCTTGTGTGTGCGGGTGACTTCTGTAACGCTCCCACTGGGCTTGTCCTCATGGTGCCTTATGCAACATCCCCCCGGTTTCTCCACTCCCCTTCAAGTAAGCTGAGGCCAAGCGCAAGGTGCCTGATGTATTCATGCACGACTGCCCAAGAGGCTGCACTTTGCAAAGCCCAGAGTTAGAAATCAGATGTTGGTTAAATTCTCCCGAGGCCCTTACAAGACTCAGGAGCCTCAAGTCTCACTGAAAGACACTAGCTGCCTTTCCCAAGAACGGACTGCAGGGTCTCTGAAATGTGCCGCAGGTCCGTCATGCCATCGGAGGGCTCTTGGAGGAACTGCGTCCTGTGAGCTGGGAGTTTTCAGTACACACATCGTAACAGAAAACCCACCATCGATATATGATGCAGAGATGGCTTGCCTGGTCTTTCCCAGCATCTACGAGTCTTAGCTCTCTTCTGAAAACTGAAGCCCCCGAGCGTCAGGCGGCAAACGCCTCTTGCTAGGGACTGACTTTCTGTACCCCTCAGGAGCAGGGCACATGCTAATAGTGCTCTATCAAAGTAACAGGACACTTCAAAGATACACAGTGCCAACAACGAAGGGCATGGTCTGAGATCCAAGACAGCAACCAACTTACATAATATGTGCCAGCCTTCAATCTTAGGTTATGTGCCCATCCCCACAACCACAGAGCTCACACCTAAGTACCCGGCAGGAGAAGAAGATGGGCAGGTATCCAAAATGCTGTACCTCTCGAAAGAGAGCCCCATAGAAGGTGACAGTGAAGGGGCAGTCTACCGTCCTCATGGAGATGTCCAGGTCCATCAGTAACCTCTTCTGCTCCTGGCTATTCACTGTGGCTCGGATCCTCTGGAAGAGAGAAACATGTTAGCAGTCTGCAGTGTCCAACTTGCAGGCTTAAGCTTGCAGGTGGACATACAAGGAGTGCACACACGCACCAACTTCCTGACAGTTAAGCCAAGATAACTTTTTTAAGTTGACTTAACTAATGTGACTCAAGATAATACACCTCGGAGGTATTATCTCATGCTGCATTTAAGTCGACTCTGCTCCAGATGCGTGTACGCTCTGACAGTTAAGTTAACTTAGCTCACAGGACGGCTGATGCCATGTCAAGGAGTGGTATGCTCTGACACCGCTTAAGTTGCTTTAGTTAAGTCACCTTATTTTAAGTCTGCTTACTACGTGTGTACGCACCCACATAGGGAAAACTGCTTAATGCCATTCCCATGAGATGATGGCGGTTACTTTCTTTTCTGAATTGCTTCTCCTTTCCACTACTTTTTTACAGCACCTAAGAAACTCTGTGCTCGAGGGGGTTCAACAGGAGGACTAACTCGAGGCAGGGGTAAATCAGCAGTTGATACTAGCCCAGAATTTGGCCCTGAGAGTTCTGGGTTCCAGTCCTGTCTCGGCTGCGGCTGGTTCTCAACATTTTCAGCCTCAAAGTATCCAGGGTGTAGTCGTATTGGTCTAGAGGACTGCCTTTTCAGGCTCGAGGCATTCCTAGGAAAATGTCAGCTCTGAGCTTTCACTTGTTTTTTGACTGCAGAAAAATAATAGAGCCATTCTTCTGCAGCAAAGCATCCAGACCGACCACAACAGGGCAGAATACTTTTGGCACCACGTGGATTCCTATTTGAAAACTCTGAGTTGATCTTGTGAATCATGCAGGCACTTGCAAACCTAACCATGCTGATCTCATGGCACCTTTAACTGGACTTTATGGCACACCAGGATGCTGCAGCACCCTAGTTGTGAATCGCTGCTTCCTGGGGCAAGAGTCTCCTGTCTCTCAAAGCAAAACCAGAGGCCACTTTTAAAATCTGGTCTCTGCACTTTAGAAAAATAGGTGGGAATAAGCCCCCTTGCAGTGGTGAGGTAGGATGTACTTCTGTGAACTCCTGAGACATCCTCATTGGAGGAAGGGTACAAGATTATTGAATCTCTCTCTTCTCTTCCATCAGGGGAAGGCCTCAGCAGCAGCTGCCAGCAGGAGCATGAGATGCTCGTATAGTTTTACGAGCTAACACCACATCGACCAGACACAGATGCTCTAAGGCTCTTTGGTCAAAGCCACTGGAGGCTAATCATGCGTCGGACTTAAACCGCTCGAGCAACTGGGATGAAAGTGCGCGAGAGCGCAGTTCCCACCGCCCTGCCCAACCTCATCCATCCCCACTTTCAGAGGGGTTTTGCAGCCTGGTGGCTACCAGGAAAAATAAAACAGAGCAGACAAAATGTACCAGATGTGGGTTCCCGGATTAGTTCTTGCTCCCCAGAAACTGGGCAAGGCTTGTTACGCTGGAGGCAGCGAGGACAAGCTAAGAATTGCATTTCCCTTCGCTTGTAAAGTCTTGCACTGTTTTTTTCCCCCTTATTTTAAATAATAGGTAACTCTTAGCTCACATTTGGCCTGTAATTCAGTTCTCTACAGAACCCACAAGTGACAGGAACGTTCCCATGATTTTTTTCTTGAATTACAATAGGGTTGTTAAAAAAATGTTAAAAAACCCAAAGAAAATCCCTGTATTAGGATTTATCTGTATTGTAATACAGTCCAGGAGCCCTTGTCATGAAGCAGGAACCTTCTTCCATCCCAGTGTGCCAGGGGCTGCACAAACACATCCCAAAAAGACAGTTCCTACTCTAAAAGGGCTAGAAACACAAGTCAAAATGACGTGTTGACTTTCTGTGTCCGGGCTGGGGGGAAACCCAAAGCAAAACAAAATAATTGCCAGAATGGATCTGTGATTTCGGCTTTATAAAGCAGTTATAAAACAACCCTAAGAGTTGCACTCTACCTTTACCGCCATGATCTGCCCGCTGGGCATGTGCCTCATCTTCTCCACCACCCCGTATGCGCCTCGTCCCAGCTCGGAGATCGGCTCGAGATCATCGGCCTTGACTTCAAAGTTCTGGAGGAGGAATTGGGAGGGGAGAGGGAGGAAACACAGTGAAAGCATCAAAGGCAAGAAAATGGAGGCCCCTGTTCTTCCGTTCTGTGAAGAGAACAGCAGAAAAGCCCTGAGGTGCTTGAACACACAACCTTGAGGTGCTTGAACACACAATCCGCCTCGAACACACAACCTTCCACCTGTAGTCTTGGCGAGACTGCTTAACCTTCTCCGCACCTCCCTGTCCCCATCTGTAAAATGGGCGCAAGATTCCCCAGGGACGACGGTGAGAATGATCCAGGTAACAATTAACGCAGTGCTCTGGAGAGGAAAACACCCACCTCTGTGCCCCGTACCTCCTCACCAGGACCGAACAAGCTGGAAGACTGGATCCCAACCCCCCACCTCGCTCATTTATTTCTTAGGGCTTCAGGAGGAAAATCAACCCAAACCACTGCCCGTAACTGCCAGTCAGGTTCCCAGTGCTGCAAACGCCAAAGGCAAGTGATGAAACAACACTTCCCATAGGACTTTCCTTTAAGAGAAATACTATGGAAGCATTCCTGACCGGTTTCATGGCTTGTAAAAAGCTTGTTTCTACAAACTGGCAGTGGGGCCAGACAGCAGTCGAGAGCTGTCCCTCTTTAAACCTCCCCAGATTTATTTCGTCTAGCCTCTTTCTCCTTGCTTTACATGAA